GGGGGGGGGGGGGGGGGCATCTCGGGTTGCCGTTCTTCTTCGTGGCCACCTCTGCATCCAACGAGCAGTGCGCTCCCCAATCCTCCAGGTGTCTACTACAAGGCTTCGTTTCAAAGGGTTCCTTTGACAGACTTTCTTTAAAGCAGGCCTTAAAGGAGCCCTTTAAAAGGAGCCCTTTAAAGAAACCTGTAAAGGGCCCTTTAACAAGGAGCACTTAACAATAAAAGATGTCCCTTCAAGGAGTCCTTGAAGGAGGCCTTTAAAGGAGTCTTTTCTTGGAGCCTCTTCAAGGAGCCCTTTAAGTCTTAGGGGTCCGCGGCGTATAGCCCCGCGATCCGAATCTCCCGGGAGTGAGCCGTTTGTGCCCAGGGTTTAGGGGTTAGGTGTCAGGCTAGGGTTTGATATGGGACATGCCGGAGATGCTGCCCTTTTTTTGTTAGGGTTTAGGGGCATGGGTGTAAGGTTTAGGGTTGAACTGTATATGCTCTCGGAGAGTGCCAGCTTGGTTGAGTGCCACCTTTCCCTGAAGCCGGAGTGTCAGAACAAACCTTAAGGTACAGCTTCAAGCGCTTTCCGGTAGAGCTCACGAGAATAGGGACACCCAGACACCCGAAAGTATAATTAGTAGTAGTACTTCGTAGTAACAGTAGTAGTGGCAGCAGGAGCAGTAGTAGCAGTAGCTGTACCTGTACATTCTTAAAGAACAGTTTATCGAACCGTTTAGGGCAACCCTGTTCCAGTTCTCTTAAACCGAATGACACGTCTAGAACTAGCACACCCGCACCCGTAGACCCTGCAGAAACTCTGAATATATAGAAGCCCTCGAGCAGCCCAAAACCAGGTCAACAGTTGCGTCGTGAAGTGGATCAGGCGCCGGGGTGCCCTTCCGGTATTCAAAGGCCTGTAGGTAGGGCCCTTTCGGGTTCAGGGTTTAGGGATGATGTCAACGATTGCGGTAGAGGAGCCTTAGGGGTTCAGGGCTTAGGATTGCATCATCAGTCTCATAAATGCTATACACAGGTTGCCGGAAGCCATGACGTGCTTTTCGGGTTTCGGGGTTATGAGTTATGATGTGTTACAAACCAGTCCAGGGACTGCGGCTAGGGAATCAGTGAAGGTTCAGGGCAATTAGGTTGTTGGGGTGCAAAAGTGTGGGGCGGTTCCGGCTGTCCCCAAGCTGGCACAGGAGCCTGAAAGACCTAGTATGATGCAACTGTCGTTGAGTTAGATGCAATTTCTACCGAATGCCGAACTTTCGGACCCTCAAGCTTGTGTCCGTCAACTCTGCAGCCTGAAGCGAGGACATCCTACAACTGTACAGCATCCATAAACCCCGCCGCCCTGAGCCCTCACCGCGGAATGGCAAGACTCCAAAACCTAAACCCGAAATTCTAAAAACCTTAGACCCTAAACCCTGAAAGCCCTTCACCCCAAAAGCCCTAAACCCTGGACTTTCGCAGGCCAAGACGAGCCTGGTCGCCGAGACGGCCGGAAAGGCCTCCGCTGCCGGGATGCCCAGGAGTTTTCTTAGCAGCCTCGTGGGCACGTCTCAACTTCCTCCGTGGATGTTTGCATAGGGCTATACAATCTATATAGAGAGATATGTACATATGTACATGTTTCTGCTTACGGGCTTATGGGTGTGTGAATAAATAAATCTCTATATATATATATGTTTCGTTTCATTCTTATTTGTATATATGTATATATAGTATGTATATGTCTCGCTTGCTTATTGTGTAACCTTACCGCAACTGTAAAGTGCGTGCTTGAAGGGCTTCACGATCGTTCTCGCATCTTTGCCCACCACAGTGCTGTGGCTCCATGCGGCTAGCCTCGCATCAGCGTGTTTGTGGGCCAATGACAGCCTATTGGCCCTCAGCCCGCAGGTGGAAGGACAAGTGCCTCACAGACCCTCTACCCACTATTTGTATTATTGGACCCTTACTACCTCTGTAAGGAGCCGTCCAAGGAGGGCCCTGGACATTTTTGCTTTCAAGAAGCTGCCTTGTCCCCTAAACCCTCAACCATACCCCCAATTGCCTAACGGCTTCGGACTCAGGTTGCGCAACTGGCGCAAGAGAGGGAGTCCGTGGCTAGCTTGCGAAAGGCCAGCAAGCAATATTGCACATATTGTTAATTCATCGTGTTATTGCGTGATTGTTAGTCTCATCGTTGTGATTGCTTTTCACACTACTATTGTTTATACTGTTAATATTCGTATGATGATGTCCGGCTAAGCCGCTGAGATCTCGTCCGTATCCTTCACGACGGGTTAGGGTTCGCAGGTGTAAGGGATTAAACCTCGATAGGGAGATGTGCACCTTGAGATACGGTCTAGGTTTTAGGGTGTTTAGGGTTTAGGGTTTAAAGGGTTTAGGGATTCCCTGGCTTGGGACAAGCTTCGGCCGTCCTTCGTTGGTGGTCCAGCATGGGCGCTGAACCTTAAACCCACGACCCTAAACTATTGCATCCTTTAGGGCTTCTTTGTGTAGACATGCTTTAGGGGTCAAGGGCCACAATCGGTAGCACAAGTTTTGCTGGTAGTGGAGGTAGCCCTATCAGGCATGCGGTTGAATATGAATGGGCATAGTTACAGAGTACAGACCCACCCTTCCATGCATTACAGTCCAGAGGCAACTTCGTTAACTCCGAAAGCCAGCCTTAAAGCCTCAAACCTTCCATAACCTAGCTTTTTTGTAGGTTTTTATTGTGGGCCCTATCATGGAATCTACAGGGGGCCCCACGAAAATAGAGGGAGGTTTTTTAGTAGTTCAAGATGAACCCCTAAACTTGGCCCGCCCTAAACCCTAAACCCTAAACCCTAAACCCTAAGCCGACTCTTTTTTGCAGTCCCTGGCGGAGCAGCAGAAGCTCGTGGCGCAGATCGGCCCCTGGGCCTGGTCATGCGTTGGACATGACTTGGATTTGGGCTTCGATGAGTTCAGATTTGCTGTTTTGGGTTTAGGACTTTGATGATTTGAGGTTTCGGCTTACGGTTGAGGGATTTGATGATTTGGGGTTTCAGGTTTTGGGTTCGTTTAGTTGTTTGGCCTAGGATTTAGGGTTTATGTCCAGTATAGTTACAAGAAGGTCGACGTACAGAGTTGCACTTGAGGATTTGTCTGTGGTGAGTCAGATCACCAGCATCTCCTGGCATGTGACCTGAGAACCGATATGGAAGTGCTTTGTACATTGCCCGTCAGCAAAAGGTCGCTAAACCAAAACCCCATGCTTGGAGAAACGGCGGACGCAGTAAGTAGTTATTCTAAAGAGTTATATGTATCATGACCCCAATATGGATCCCTTTTAGGGTACGTATACCTCCTACTTATTACCCTCTTATATTATATATGCCCATACGGACTTCTGGCTCTCTAGTCCGGCTGGGGAGGCGACCGCAGTACCGAAGATATCTCAAGGCCTACCTATACAACAGCACTATAGGGCCCTCATGAATGTTACTCGAATCAGTATGAAAAGCTGAAAAGCCTTCAGAAACGCCCCAAATCCTTGCGGCCAGTTGTATTGCCAAGGCGAGCAAAGCGCCGGGCTGGCGGCCAAAGTGCAGGCGGTTTTTGTGTCTTCGAGGGAACTTACGGGCTCATGAGGGGTTCAGCAATCAGCAGGTTGTAAAGTGTCATTTCATAACAGTTTTCGGGTTTTCAGTTTTAGGTGGCGTCGGTGTGCTACCACGGTTTTGGGCTGGTTTTTGAGTTTGTGTTATCCTTTGTGGGTTTTCCTGAAATGCCAGGTTGCGGTTGCAAGTTCAATGCTTGAGGCTTTGCGGGCTAGGCCACATTCTGTCGGTTGCCAGTTGAGGGCTTAGGAGTTCGGTGGCCACTGGGATGAGGAAGCATTGAAGATTTAAGGTTTAAGTAGGGTCAACAAGGCTTCGTGTTTCGAATTTAAGGTTTTGACTTGGGGATTCGGTTTCTAGTTCTTCCGGCCTCTGTAACAGGTATTACTTGGCGAGCTAAAGTAAGGCTTAATTTGGAGATTTCAGGGTCTGGGGCTTTGGTGTGTGCAGTGCATATGCCCCTCGGTGCTATGTCAAAATGCCCAAATGGTTAGATATTCGGATTTACGGGAGCATTTGTATGTCCTTTCCAGAGTGAGCACATGGTGATTCTTCATTCGGACCATTTGGAGTTCCTGTCATGTGGAGGTTTGGGGCTCTTTGGGTTTGCGAGTTCATTGAGCATGCCATTGAATCAAGCTAGTGCATGGTTTGCAACTACCTTCTTTCTCTTTTTCTCGAGTTTTGGGTAGGGTGCAGATCCAACGACTGCAAGTGCGCTATTGACCCTAAGCATCCGTAAGCCCTCCACTGTATCCTGGATTTAGATTCTGAAGACTTGCAGTTGCCCGATTGGTCTTGTGTAGTCACCAGAGGCCGTGAAAGCAGGGGTTCGGGCTAAATGCTCGACCGACGGGCCTTTGGAGGGGTGAATGCTTGAAGGTTGCAGGGGGCGGGTTCAATCGGTGTCAATGTTGCAACACAAAATTTGAAGCAGTTCCTTTCTACTCGCCCGCGGGCCCTTCATCCATCAAACATGCCTTGTAGGTTCTGAAGGATAGGGTGTACGAGTGCCATCTGTCACGCCAGGATCTTGAAAGCCAACTCAAGCTGGAGACTCGGAATCGAGAGGGTTTCAGCTGCACCCGATTCGGGCTAAGGGTTCTGAACTGATACTGCTACTCCTACTCCTACTCCTAATCCTACTACTACTACTACTACTACTACTACTACTACTAGTACTACTACTGGTTCTACTGCCAAGTAGTAGTCCAGTACGACTGTCACTACCACGGCGACTGCCGCTACTACCACGACAAGGACTACTAC